TAATTTTCATGTGAACCCAAGGGGACTAATCCCAAAAGGGCTTTTCTTATTTTGAGCCTCCTCTTTGTTATTCTTCCATTTCTTTATAACTCATCCCTGTTTTTACTTGTTTTATTTGGTCTAAATTTTTTAGTAAAGGAATTGCTCATTGGGAGCAGGGCAGTTGCCTTCTATAATGGTGTTTCTCATTGCCCAGTTGAGACTGCTTTTACTGGGTTGTATTCATATGAGCTAATCTGAATTTATCAATACCGAGTCTGAGCTCAAATGGACCAAACAACTGCTAGCTGAACATGCTAAACAAAGGATTATACATTTTTCACCTCGGTTTGTTAGGTTCTTGGTTCTCAAAGCTGAGTCCGAAGACCAGTAGCATTAGCATCACCTGAGAGCTTATTTAAAAGGCAGAATCACGGCCCCACCCTAGACATATTGAATCAGAATCTGCATTTTTAACTAGATCCCCACATGGCTTATATACACATTAAACATTCAGAATCACTGTTCTAAATCACATAAGTTAATATATTCAAGTGGAAGTAGGCCAGAATAGGCTTGTCAGTTACTAGATAGATATTTGATGACTCAGGGTTGCTCTCTAAAAGAAAAAGATAGGTTTTTGATAGAATTCAGTTATTGGACAAAGCAGAATACGAGTGCTTTTATATCACACAGGATCTTTTTTTTTTTTTTTTTTTTTTGTAACAGAGTCTTACTGTGTCACCCAGGATGACATGTACAGTACAGTGGCATGATCTTGGCTCACTGGAACTTCTGCCTCCCAGCCTCAAACGATTCTCCTGCCTCAGCCACCTGAATAGCTGGGATTACAGGCATGCACCACACTCCCAGCTAATTTTTGTATTTTTAGTAGAGACAGTATTTCACCATGTTGGCCAGACTGGTATAGAACTCTTGGCCTCAAGTGATCAGCCTGCCCCAGCCTCCCAATGTGCTGGGATTACAGGCATGATCCACTGTGCTTTGACTCTCACAGGATTTTTAAGTTACATTGTTAGAGCTCTGTTTCAGTACCTTTTGGCCCCTTCTCCAGGGAGTAAAAGCAGCCTCAACTGGGCAAACCAAATCATTAGTGTCTCAGGGAAACCCCTGGAAATAGACACCCAAGACCTGAAGCCCAAGAAACAAAGATTTTTAAGTTAATGTTTACAAATTGGAGGGCTGGAGTGTCTGATAAAGTTGACATTGTGGACATGTCTGTGGAAATAGACAATATTTTGGCCAGGCACGGTGGATCACTTGAGGTCAGGAGTTCAAGACCAGCCTGAGCAACATGGTGAAACCTCATCTCTACTAAAATTACAAAAATTAGTTGGGCGTGATGGCACATGCCTGTAATCCCAGCCACTTGGGAAGCTGAGGCAGAAGAATCACTTGAACCCAGGAGAGGAGGTGGAAATTGCAGTGAGCCAAGATTGTGCCACTACCAGCCTAGGTGACAGGGAGACTCCATCTCAAAAAAAAAAAAAAGATAGGGCCAGGCACAGTGGCTCACGCCTGTAATCCCAGCACTTTGGGAGGCCGAGGTGGGCAGATCATGAGGTGAAAAGATCAAGACCATCCTGGCCAACATGGTGAAACCCTGTCTCTACCAAAAATACAAAAATTAGCTGGGTGTGGTGGTGTGCGCCTAGTCGCAGCTACTCAGGAGGCTGAGGCAGGTGAATCATTTGAACTTGAGAGGCAGAGGTTTCAGTGAGCCAAGATTGCACTACTGCGCTCTAGCCTGGCGACAGAGCAAGACTGTCTCAAAAAAAAAAAGACAATATTTTGTTCCGATTTCAAAAGAAGGAAAGAGGTCTCTAAAAAGAAGTAGGACCTGTATTGAGAGGGTTAAACATTCAGTCGTGGAAAGGCTTGTTTCCATAATGATGTTTTAATTAATAGAAATGGGATTTTGCCATGTTGTCCAGGCTGGTCTTGAACATATGAAGCTCAAGTGATGGGCCTGCCTCAGCCTCCCAAGGTGTGAGCCACCACACCCAGCCCCACAGTGGTGTTTTTTAAACCACAAGGCTTTTCTGCAGCTAGAGAAACATGAAAGTGATGGAAATCATAGGGAAAGAAGCTAATCAACTAGGCCTCTTTAGGCCTGTGGCCAGAATCTATGTGTTAACAACCCAGATGTGGAAATGGGGTCCATTCCTGATTGGGTCTAAAGGCCACAAGACAACAGTATGTCTTATCATTTTTTATGTAATTTTCTTTTTTAAAAAAATGTAATCTCTCTTCAATTTCTAGTCACCTTCATATCACTTGGTAGAGCAAGTACTTTTGAGGCAGGGTCTTGTTCTGTCGCCCAGGCTGGGGTGCAGTGGCAAAATTATGGCTGTACTCCAGCCTGGGAAAAAGAATGAGACTCTTGCCGGGCACAGTAGCTCAAGCCTGTAATCCCAGCACTTTGGGAGGCCGAGGCGGGTGGATCACGAGGTCAAGAGATCGAGACCATCCTGGTTAACGTGGTCAAACCCCGTCTCTACTAAAAATACAAAAAAAAAAAATAGCCGGGCATGGTGGTGCGTGCTTGTAATCCCAGCTACTCAGGAGGCTGAGGCAAAAGGATTGCCTGAACCCAGGAGGCGGAGGTTGCAGTGAGCCGAGATCACGCCATTGCACTCCAGTCTGGGTACCAAGAGCGAAACTCCGTCTAAAAAAAAAAAAGAATGAGACTCTTATCTCAAAAAATAAAAAAAAGTATTGATAATTACTGCAGTTCTTATGAAATGAAGTACTGATAAATACTACGCTGTGGATAAATCTCCAAAACATCATGCTAAGTGAAAGAAGCTAGACACAAAAGGCCATATATTGCTGGGCGTGGTGGATCACGAGGTCAAGAGATCGAGACCATCCTGGTTAACATGATGAAACCCCATCTACTAAAAATACAAAAAATTAGCTGGGCATGGTGGCGCATGCCTATAATCCCAGCTACTCAGGAGGCTGAGGCAGGAGAATTGCCTGAACCCTGGAGGCGGAGGTTACAGTGAGCCGAGATCGCGCTATTGCACTCCAGCCTGGGTAACAAGAGCGAAACTCCATCTCAAAAAAAAAAAGCCATATATTGTATTACTTCATTTTTATGAAATATCTAGATTAGTAAACCCATAGAGACTGAAAGTACATTGGTGATTGCCTCCGGTTGGAAAGGAGAAGAAAGTTTAGATAAACTGCTACTGCTTAATGGGCATGGGAGTTGTCTCGGAGGCAATGGAAATGTTTTGAAACCAGGTAGAGGTGGTTTATGCAACACTTTGAAAGTATTAAATACCACTGAATTGTGAACTTAAAAATGATTAGGTTTTGGAGGGATGTTTTTTGTTAGTTTTTTAAGTTTTGTGGGTACACAGTACATATATTTATGGGGTACACAAGATGTTTTGATAGAGGCATGCAATGCATAATAATCACATGATGTAAAATGGGGTATCCATCCCCTCAAGCATTTATCCTTTGTGTTCCAGACAATCTAATTATACTCCAGTTATACTTTTTAAATGTACAATAGAAGTTATTATTGACTATAGTCACCCTGTTGTGCTGTAAAATACTAGGTCTTATTCTTTCTGGGTTTTTTGTACCCATTAACCATCCCTACCTTACCTCTAACCCCATTACCCTCCCCAGCCCTCTGCTAACCATCATTATACTCTCTATGTCCATGCATTCAATTGTTTTAACTATTAGATTCCATGAAGAGTGAGAACATGTGATGTGTCTTTCTGTGCCTGGCTTATTTCACTTAACATGATGACTGACCTCCAGTGCCATCCATATTGTTCCAAAAGGCAGGATCTCATTTTTTAAGGCTCAACAGTATTCCTAAAGTGGTTAGTTTTACCTTATGTGAATTATGGCTCAGTTTTTTTTTTTAATTGTAATAAGAATAAAGCTGGTTCTTTGAAAATGCCAGCGATAACCTCAGTAAATTCAAAAGCTTAAGAAAAATGGGGCTGGGCATGTTGGTTCGTACTTGTAATCTTAGCCCTTTGGGAGGCCACAGCAGGAACATTGCTGGAGACCAGCCTGGGCAACATAGCAAGACCCCATCTCTTGTTTATTTATTTATTTATTTTGAGAGGGAGTCTCTTGTGGTCCAGGCTGGTGTGCAAAGGCGCAATCTCGGCTCATCGCAAGCTCCACCTCCCAGGTCCAAGTATTTCTCCTATCTCAGCCTCCTGAATAGCTGGGATTACAGGCGTGCGCCACCATACCCGGTTAATTTTGTATCTTCAGTAGAGATAGGATTTTACCATGTTGGCCAGGCTGGTCTCAAACTTCTGAACACAGGTGATCCCCCCGCCTTAGCCTCCCAAAGTGTGAGTTACCGTGCCCAGCCCCCTCTCTATTTTTAAAAATAAAATATTTAAAAAATGGATAATTTCCAGGGAAAATGTAACTTATTCTAACTCAAAAAGATAGAAAACCTAAAGAGATATAAACTTCATATTAATTATATTGGTAGTAGTTAAAGTACCTAGTCCTAGATGATTTTACATGAGCTCTCCCAGACCTTCAAGGATCAGATAATTTATCTCTTAGACACAAACTATTCCCAAGAATAGAAAAATGCGGTACTCCACAACTCATTTTATGAGGCTAATTTATTTTGATACCAAAACCAGATATTGACAGTACCAAAGACGAAAATTATAGGCCTAAATCACTTGTAAACATAGACGCAAAAATCCCAAATCAAAAGCAGTATGGGCCAGGCACAGTGGCTCACTCCTGTAATCCCAGCACTTTAGGAAGCCGAGGCAGGCAAATCAGGAGATCGAGACCATCCTGGCTTACATGGTGAAACCCCGTCTCTGCTGAAAATACAAAAAATTAGCCAAGTATGGTGGCGCATACCTGTAGTCCCAGGTACTTGGGAGGTACTTGGGAGGCTGAGGCAGGAGAATCGCTTAAACCCTGGAGGCAAAGGTTGCAGTGAGCCAAGATTGCACCACTGCACTCCAGCCTAGGTGACAGAGGGAGACTGGGTCTCAAAATAAAAGGCAATATGGATCTAGTAATAAGTCTTTTAATATAACCACATTTCCATTGTTATATCTTAAAACTTGTTATATCTTAAAAATTGTTATATCTTAAAGTACTACCAGTAATTCAAAATCCAGTATATTGTTAGTATTCAAATATCACCAAATGTTTTCCTTTTTTCTGCTTATCCACATAAGGTTTATATATGTATATTTGATTAAGATACTCTCTTGGTTACTAAATTAGACTGGGCGTGGTAGCCCACCCCTGTAATCTCAGCACTTTGGGAGGCCAAGGCAGGCAGGGATCCTTGAGGCTAAGAGTTTGAGACCAGTCTGGCCACCATGACAAAACCCTTTCTCTACTAAAAACTTTAAAAAGTAGCCGGGTGTGATGGTATGTGCCTGTAGTCCCAGCTACTTGGGAGGCTGAGGCACAAGAATCCCTTGAACCCAGCAGGCAGAGGTCTCAGTGAGCTGAGATCACGCCACTGTACTCCAGTCTGGGTGATATAGCAAGACAGTGTCTCCAAGAAAAAAAAAAGAAGATATCTCTTAGTCTCTAAATTTATAAGTTGCCCTCTTTTTTATTCTTGTTTTTGGAGACAGTCTCCCTCTGTCACCCATGTTGGAGTGCACTAGTACGATCTCAGTCCACCACCTTCTGGGATAAAACGATTCTTCTGTCTCAGCCTCTCGAGTAGCTGGGATTACAGTTGTGCACCACCACAGCTGGCTCAGTTTTTGTATTTTTAGTAGATACAGGATTTGCCATGTTGCCCAGACTGTTCTCAAACTCCTGAGCTCAACTGATCCACCTGCTTCAGTCTCCCAAAGTGCTGGGATTACAGGCATGATCCACCATGCCCTGCCCTCTTTTCTTTTCAGTTTATTTGTTGAAAAAGGTGAACTTGTACTTAGAGTTTCCCTGGCGAAATTTTGAAGATTGTATCTGTAGTATTGTTTGATGTAGTCTACTTTACTTTATATTTATTATATGTGAATATGTCTAAAGGAGGGGTTGGCAATCTGCAGCCTGAGGACCAAATGCAAGCCTCCACATGTTTGTAAGTAAACTTTTATTGGAACACACCATGCCCATTCATTTAGTTACTGTTTATGGCTATTGTGTTTCAATGTAGAGTTGAGTTGTCAGCAACAGACACCATATGTCTGGACAAACTTAAAACATATACTAATATGACCTCTGTTCTAGAAAATTAACCTCATACCAGTTCAGTTTCTTAGTAGATAATCCTTTGTAGGTGATGATGGGTTCAACACAATAGTAAAAGGGCCTTTAAGACCATTTTTACTGACTTCATACCATTTCAGTTTCTTAGCAGATAATCCTTTGTAAGTGATGATGGGTTCAACACAATAGTAAAAGGGCCTTTTAAAGACTCCCAGGTATGTATTACAGATTGATTTATGACAGAAGTAATGAAAGTTAGTAAGAAAAAGATGGATGGGTATAGTGGCTCATACCTGTAATTTCAGCATTTTGGGAGGCCAGGGCAGGAGGATGGATCTCTTGGGACCAGGAGTTTGAGACTAGCCTGGGCAACATAGAGAGACCCCATCTCTGAAAAAAAAAAAAAAAAATTTTAATTAGCCAGGTGTGGTAATGCACACCTATATAGTCCCAACTATTCGGGAGGCCGAGGTGGAAGGGCCACTTGAGCCCAGGAGTTTGAGGCTGCAGTGAGCTGTGATCACACTACTGCACTCCAGCCTGGGCAACAGAGTGAGACCCTGTCTCTTTAAAAAATGAAACAAAAATCAACTACTCAATGCTGGGATAGTTGGCTCTCTATGGGGAGAAAACAATTAGATTCCTATCAGTCACCATAGACAGAAAAAAGTTTCAGGTGTTTTAAAACACAAAAAGTAAAAAAAAAAAAATTTTTTTTTAGACAGAGTCTTGTTCTGTCACCCAGGCTGGAATGCAGTGGCACAATCTTGGCTCACAGCAACCTTTGCCTCCCCAGTTCAAGTGATTCTCCTGCCTCAGCCTCCTGAGTGGCTGTGATTTCAGGGGCGCACCACTACACCTGGCTAATTTCTGTATTTTTTAGTAAAGACAGCGTTTGACTGTATTGGTCCAGCTTGTCTTGAACTCCTGATCTCGTGACCCACCTGCCTCAGCCTCCCAAAGTGCTGAGATTACAGGCAAGAGCCACTGCTCCCGGCCAGCAAATGACTTTTTTTTTTTTTTAAGAGATGGGGTCTCCTATGTTGCCCAGGCTGGAGTGCAGTGGCTATTCATAGGCGCGATCCCACTACTGATCAGCATGGGAGTTTTGACCTGCTCCGTTTCCCACCTGGGCCAGGTTACCCCTCCTTAGGCAACCTGGCGCTCCCCGGCTCCCAGGAGGTCACCATATTGATGCTGAACTCAGTGCGGACACCCAATTGGCATAGTGCACTACAGGCCAGAACTCCTGGGCTCAAGCGGTCCTCCCACCTCAGCCTCCCGAGTAGCTGGGACTACAGGCACGTGCCACCGCGCCCGGCTAGCAAATGACTTCTTAAGCAAAATACAAAAAGAACAAACTATGGAGGCTTAAACATGGTCTGAAAGATGTTTTCATTTAGCATGATAAACCTGTAGCCATCAGTTGTTCAGTGGGGCCATCTCTGTGAGCAGGAAAGAGTGCTGTGGACAGTAGGTGTATCAAGTTCACAGTCCTTGCTTCTTACTCAAAGTCTTGCTCAGGTAGTCTTTTTGGTGGGGGGCAGCATATGTTGGCAAGTGTGTTCCTCTATCAGGTCCAAACAGCTGTTGCAAGGTCCATGCTCTTGGAATTAAGACAAAACATTGAAAAATGGGGCAAATTACTACCTCCTCTGTGTTCCTACCTGTGAATCCACAATGTTGCTCATATTTCATTCCATATCACTAGTGGTCAGAAAATTCCTGGGATCACCTGAGGTTTAAAAGAATTTTGCTTTCTAGCTCTGGACTCTGATACTGTCCTGTTGTCTTGGGGTTTGCTTCTCATGTTAATTTATCTTAGGTATTGTATACTAATCTGTACAAGTCTGTTCCCTCCTCCAGCAAGCATTCAGATATTTATACCTTCTTTTCTTTCCCCTGCCAGGAGTAGTGTTGATGGGCAGATCTGTCTGTGTGGAACTGTAGTATCACTGAGTTACAAGCAAAACTCACTCTTTACTTCTGTATGAGATGGAAAAGTTCAATAGCATTCTTGTTTCTTTCAGAACCCACAATACATTATATGCACCAGAAATGCTAGCCAAAATGGCAGAGCCTTTCATCAAGGCTCTGGATATGCTTGATGCAGAAAAATCTGCTATATTAGGTAAGAAATGTAACCTTTTTTCTCCTCGGTTCATCTTATCCTTAATGGATGTCCTTTTTTTTGTTGTTGTTTTTTGAGAGTCATAGTCTCTGTCACCCAGGCTGGAGTGTCTGTTTTGGCCAGGGCTGACTCTTTTCCTTTGTGGTCCTCTTTTCCTTTGACACCATTCCACTTAAGGGTTATGTTGCAGGCACCAATAAAAATAGAACTTCCAAAATGTGTATTGCTCTTAATATAAAAAGTAGGTGCTGCTTCACCACACACCCCCATCCCATTATTCAAGTGAAGTCAGGAACTCCTGCCATAGAAATAAGTGGCCAACCAGAAATACTAGAATGGACAAACAGTTCCCTCTGATAGCTTCTGACTATAAGACTTGAAATATAAAATCTCTGATGACACTTAAAATATAGATCTTTTAAGGCAGTTTTAAATACTAAGGTAAGTGGGTTTCATTTTGAGCTGCTATACATCTTAGTCTTTTGTGTAAGATTTTGCTTAAAAAAGGGGTTTCACAGCTGGGAACAGTGGCTCACACCTGTAATCCCATCACTTTTGAGAGGCCAAGGCAGGCAGATCACCTGAGGTTGGGAGTTTGAGACCAGCCTGACTAACATGGAGAAACCCTGTCTCTACTAAATATATATAAAATTAGCTGGGCGTGGTGGTGCATGCCTGTAATCCCAGCTACTTGGGAGGCAGGCTGAAGCAGGAGGATCACTTGAACCTGGGAAGTGGAGGTTGTGGTGAGCTGCCTGGGCAACAAGAGCAAAACTGGGGGGGTTTCACAACTTAATAGCAGGGGCATCCCCAGAGCTTTTTATGGAAAAATACTTTCGAGTTGTCACTTTTTTTGGTACAAGTTGTATCTGGAAAAAAAAAAAAAAAAGCAGGTAAAAGAGTACCTGGGTCTAGTCTAAAGTTCTGGGTCCGAAAGAGTGTAACAAATTACAGAGCCAACTGCTTTGCAGTTACAGCATCAGACATACACACGTCTTCTCCCCTGAACCACATCTGCCTGCTGTAGAGTGTTGACCAGTTGAAACTCCTGACAGTGGAGTGTCGTGTTCCTGACCCATGTTTCCCTGTAGGATTACCTCAGCCTCTCTTGGAACTCAGTGACTCTCCTGTCTTCAAAACCGTCTTGGAAAGAATGCAGCGTTTCTTCTCTACCCTCTATGAAAACTGGTAAGGAACCAATGCTGCCCCTCCATATTTTCTTCCTGGGTATGTATTGTGTAGGAGTGTCCATGGGTTGGACTTTTCATCCATGTAGGGTGAGGCAAGAATTTGATAGGAAATTAATGATTCTAGTGTTAAATAATAATGAACAGCCTGTTTTGCTGCATTTGCTTTTTTTGTAATTGTCATATGAGCCTCACAGTCCCAGCCTGCTTCATGCCCAACTTGTCTGTGTTTCTAGTGTATAAAATGATGAAACCCAACCAGAAGCTAAAAGTGATGGGGATTGCTTAGACTCTACACTGCTTGTAGCCTACTTCTCACGGGAGTGAGGTGGCTGGATAGTGATTGTGGGTTGGGGAGGTAACTGGCCCTCATGGGCTTTGGCTTCACTAACCCAGTACACTGATCAGCCTAGCTAATGAGATCCTCCATTATAAGTCCACATTAAATAGTAATGAAATCTACTACTGATCTTGGCCGCTAATATCTGTGTTTAAAAAGATGCTATATCTGTAAGTTCTCTTAAGTAAATACAGCTGTTTTTCTGGCTGAAAAATCTTATTGTAGGTTAGAAATGAAATTCATGGGTCAGGGCTGGCAGTAACAGATGTTGGATTTGTCATTGCCAGTGTTTTTTTTTTCCCCCCTTTACAGTTTTCATATCCTAGGGAAGGCAGGCCCTTCCATGCAGCAAGACTTCTATTCTGTGGAGGACCTTGCTACCCAGCTTCTCAGCTCAGCCTTTGTCAACTTGAACAATATTCCTGACTACCGACTCAGACCCATGCTTCATATCCTTTCGAAAGTCCCTATATAACCCAAAAGATCAGAAAATTAGAGACAGAAACAGCTCACAGGAACCAGAGGGAGGAGGGAGAACTGGAAGGAAGAGATGAGATTATGTATCTAAGTGCATCATGTCATTAAAAACACTGGCAGATTGCAGCAAAACATGAAGATAGTCCAGATGGCCATAAACTTTTCCTTAGGGGAAAATTTTTACTTTCCTCCTCCTTGGAAATATTAAAAATAATTTTTTTTTTGAGATTGAGTCTTGCTCTGTTGCCCAGGCTGGAGTGCAGTGGTGTGATCTTGCCTCCACCTCCCAGGTTCAAGCAGTTCTTGTCCCTTAGCCTCCCAACTAACTGTAATTATAGGCATGTACCACCACTGGGTGCTATTTGCTCTATTTCCCAGCCTGGAGTGCAGTGGCATGATCTTGTCTTACTGCAGCTTCCACCTCCTGAGTTCAAGCGCTTCTTGTGCCTCAGCCTCCCAAGTAGCTGGGATTACAGGCGCATGCCACTACACCCAGCTAACTTTTTTGTGTTCTTAGAAGAGCAGTTTTCACCATGTTGGCCAGGCTGAGCACATGAGGTCGAACTCCTGACCTCAAGTGATCTGCCCACCTCGGCCTCCCAAAGTACTGGGGTTATAGGTGTGAGCCACCACGGCCAACCTAATATTTGTATTTTTAGTAGAGACAGGATTTTGCCATGTTAGCCAGGCTGGTCTCAATCACCTGACCTCAAGCAATTTGCCTGCTTCAGCCTCCGAAAGTATTGGGATTACAGGCATGAACCACCATGCTCAGCCATGAAAGATAAAACTTTTACCCCTTTTCTGTGTTTTTAGAAAACACTTGCTTTTTGTTTGTTTGTTTGTTTTCTGAGACAGGGTCTCACTGTTACCCAGGCTGGATTGCAGTAGTGCTATTAAAGCTCACCTGTAGGCTCAAGTGACCTCAGCTTCCTGAATAGCTTGGACTGGACCACAGATGCACACCACCACACCTGGCTATTTATTATTATTTGTAGAGATGGGATCTGCATTATGTTCCCAAGACTGGTCTCAAACTCCTGGGCTCAAGGAGTTCTCCTGCCTCAGCCTCTGATGTGCTAGAGTTACAGGCCTGAGTCACCACAACCAGCCAGAAGAAGCAATTTCGTACTTCTTATTCAGACCCTTATTTAGTTGAGACTCTGTCTTTTTTACCTGAAATTATAAGGAGAATAATGAAGGAGAGTTTGTTACAAGGATATCCTCCTTCCTATTTTTTTCTTCCAACTTTCAGGCAACCCAGTGACCATAATGTGCAGCCTGATGAAAGTACAGCTAAACTAATATAATGAAATTGAGGATTTCATACTGTTTAGGATTTTAGAAAAGGAACTTGAAGATTTTTCACTATTTGCATAGGATATTTTTGACATCTGGCAAACCCTTTAGGGATTGATTCTGCCCAGGGGTATAGCCAGCACCTGGCAGGTGAGGGCATGGGCTTATACACTAAAATTCCTTAATTTGCTGCAGCACGGGTCTTTGTAAAGCCTCTGGTGCTCTTCTGTCCCCCCGAGCACTATGAAGCCCTGGTATCCCCTATCCTCGGACCTCTTTTCACCTACCTCCATATGGTAAGAGATAAGTCAGGAACAGGAAACAAAGAAGGTCTGTGGCCATTTTTGAGCCTTGTAAGTCAGGAGCTCCTAGAAGGGTTGTCCCCTAGCCCTGCCAGACTGGCTGGGCAGAGCTTCTACCCTAGCATACTATCCTTGCTGTAGGATTGAGCAAGCCCCAAAGAAGTAAACTGATTTAATTGCCACAAGGCAGCTTCAGATGCAGATTCTGTTCCTAACCTGTTAACTGAGGAGAGGTAAAAAGAGGAATGCTTGTTCACAGACCCTTGCCAGGGATGCTGGGTCTGTTACCCTGACTCTGGAATTAAGCAGGGGGACCAGCTGGGTGGAGAACAGGTATGTCTAGAGACCCAAGGATTCTAAAAATGTTATTTTAATTCTTTCCAAGCAAAGAGGTGTTTGATATACCACCCTTATCTTGGACATGGGAGAGGTTACAGAAACCATAGATGGCTTTTTTAACTTTGTGGTGTGGAGTCTACAGAGGCTGTCACTGATGCCTAGACTCATCCTTGGCTAATTTTAATCATGAAGTGGACTTGACTTTAGATATTATGTGTTCCAATCCTCTCCCCAATTCTAGCATTTATTTCCTTTGTGTTTTCCCAGAGGCTTTCTCAGAAATGGCAAGTTATCAACCAGAGGAGCCTGCTGTGGTAAGGGATACCCACCCCTTCTTGGTGAATGAGCTGGCAGCCAGGTTTGGGATTAGGAAAGAAAGGGGGCAGGGATTCTGCTGTCTCAGAGCTAGAAGAGCAGTAGCTTATAGTCATTCTCAGCTTAGGTGATAGATGGCTTATCTGGACAGCCTGTGACCAGCAGGCAGACTCTGAGATCCAGCCTTCATAGGGGCTACTGTTACCTTACTTATTT